TCCACGAGAAAACTTGCACAGTGCAGGCAGGGAAACTCTGGGCAGGGGGAGGACCAAATCTTCCTTCGACAATGAACACACGTGCAGCAATGGCCTGGCCTCAAGCGATCAGGGAGGACTAAGCCTGGGACCAAGGCACATGGCACTCCATGCAGCAAGAAGCAAGGACACCTTTTTCAGCAGAAACAAAACCCTTCCTGACAATATGGTCTGCCTGGTTCAAGTGACCTGGAAAACATACTGTGTAGAGGACGAGGACAATGAAAAGGTAACTAGAAGAGGACGCTCTTCCAGGAAAAGGCGGGAGCCGGCAAGAAGACCACGCCAAAACAAAGTCTTGAAAGCAAGACTTATTGTTCACAGGCAGGACTTTCCTTGAGGTGATCAACAGCCCATGAGGGCATGGAAAGCCATGGAGGGCGCACTGCTGCAGGTGGAAAGGGTCTTTGCATAACAGAGGAAATCAATAGTGTAATCGACAACGTAGCTTCAATGATCTCATAAGCATGCCTGTCAGTCATTATCAGTTGCTGCACTTCATTGCTATTTGCTGTACTCCCCAAATACAAGCCATGAGAGCTTTGGGGGCTTTGCTACTTGCCTGACTAGCAATAGCCCTCTGCTGTAACTTCACCCTGCACACCAAGCTTGCCTCAGTGTCTCCGTTCACAGAGAACATGAACAATGCTGGAACATGACATGATGTGAAGCCACAAGAAAACACACACACAAAGCAACACAGTGATCTATGGGACATAACAGCACCCCAGAAACAGGGAGCGCAGACGACCTGCAAGATAACAGCAACAGGATGCCACCTGTAACCAAGACTGCGGTTCCGGGCACATGCCACATACCCAGGAGAAATGGGGCAGAAGTGGATGCTGGGCACATGCATGGATCCTGGTGAGAACCACAGGACCTGAGGCCGGACAAAAGCAGCTGATGCTCCCTTCTGTAAAACCAGGCCCCAACATGGAAACCTATTAGGAAGCAGACTGAAGGAATCATAGGCCCCTCATGAAGGCAAGCAACACCTCATAACATGCAACCGAACATCAAAAGGGAGTCCTCCTCCACAGAAGCAGTGCAAATGATCGGCACCATTGGGAAGACAGGAAAAGTAGTCATCAGAACTGCAAAACAAGGAAGGAAGGAAGGAAGGAAGAAGGAAGGAAGGGA